TTGTAGTTTGTCCTAAAGCCAATTGGGAGTCTGAATATTTTTGAGTAAGGTAGAAATGTCGTCAGAATTGAGATTTCAGAATATCAGTTTGGCAGTTGTTTGGAGTATGAATTGGAGAAGAGAGAGAGATGATAATTGAACCCAGGGGGCTGATGAGATCACCAGGGAAAAAGAGTATAGAGTTGTTATGAAAGTTATGAGAGAGCAATTTAAAACTTAAATTAACTCTGTGTTTGCTTATTATTTTTAATTAAACACTGATTTCTGGGCCTATATTTGATTCCCCCATAAAGACAACCAAGGATCCTTATTTCAAGAAATCTATGGATTAATAGTATCATAGTATTAGAACTGGAATAAATGAGTAAATGAATATATTTGTTACCTCCAAAGAGTGCCTTCCTTTTTGAATGTCCCAGCACAAAATCTGTGTTTTGAATGGATCTTCTCCCCACTACCTCCTAATCAAAAAAGGTGGCACAGCATACATTGGCATCAGTTCCATCTGGGAAGATAGCTACCAGGCATTGCTCTCATTTTTTTAGAGCTTAGCAATGGTGAGTAGCACTTCTCATAGTACAAATGGGGAATTTTAATTGAACAGGTGTTTGTTCAATCATTAATCTCTGCAGCCGAGGGAAATCATTTCAGCAACATACTTCATCACAGAACATCACTGTAAAATGTTTTAGGTGCGAAGACTGATTTCCTTCCTACCCGTTTCCCTACAAAGAGACTGAACAGACAGCCTACTCTCCTTCCTTAATAATCCTCAACACCAAGATCTCTCCCTATAGGCTCTTGGACAGGAGGGCTTATTTTTGTGAAGAAGACTTGCTTTTCATCCTGATAAAGCCTTGGTATCACTAACTGCAGGTTATAAAATCTCTGAATAAATGTAATCAAGATGGACCCCCCCAGATTTCACAGGGGCCGTTCCGTATATATCTCCTTGGGCAAGTCATGGCATGTCACTACTTGGTAATGAATGCCAGCTGCTTTTAAGCCCAAAATTAGTGTTAAGGCAGCCATACTCATAGGTCTCAAGCCCCTTGGTATCCCAAGCCAAAGCAACACAGAGAACTAGGGTTATTTTCTGGGTAATTTGGAAGTAAAAAATTTTGGTTATCGGTATCATGGTATAGTTGAAAGAATAAGTTAAAATTATATAAAACACTTTTACACACTTTTAAAAATAAAAACACTGCTTTATTAAAGCAACCAAGAATAAATATTAACTAATGCTAACATTTCTTTTAATGATATAAAAATGGAGTGATCTTTAAAGAAATACAAATGCTAAAGAACAACTAGGTACCTTCAAATGTTCTCAATTACTACTTAGGCTAAATGTTGATTTCCCCCAGGCTTGAGTATAACACAACTTTCTAACAGCCCAAACTATTTTGGGATTTAGGCACTTCTAGAACTTGTCTGCACCTCCTAGACTTTCATCATTTTGGCCAAGACTCAAAACACTCAGATTTTTTTCCTGCTAAAGACTTGAACAAGTCCTCCGCAGATCAAGGCATTGGATTGAAGGGGACTTTTTCACTTAACCAGGGGTGCTCAGCACCCTTACTATCTAACTATTCAGTCCCTTCCTATCTCCTTGACTTCCTAATTATTGCAGGAAAGTCGTTGTTTTCCCTATAGCATTGATTTGCTTTGGAAGGAAAGATAATAGCTCAGTTTAGGGTATTTTAAATTTGAGGGACTAGTGAGTCATCCAAGAAAAGTTATCCTATAATCAGTTGGAGATTTAGATCTAGACATAAGAAGAGAGGCTAGCACTGCAGAATTGGTTCTGGGTCTTACTTGAGGCAATTGCATAGATAGAGTGCTGGGCCTTGAGTCAGGAAAACCTGAATTCAAATCCAGCCTCTGACACTTAGTGGCTATGTGACCCTAGGCAAGTCATTTAACCTTTGCCTCAGTTTCCTCATTAGTAAAATGGGGATAATAATAATAATAATACCTTCCTCCTAGGGTTGGTGTGAAGATAGTATGAGATATTTACAAAGTACTTTGAGAACCTTAAAGAATTATATAAATGCTGGTTATCACCATCATCATCATCATTATAGTGGTAATTAAAGGGATGGGAGTCAATGAGATTTCTAGGGGAGAGTAAAAAGAACTGATCAGGACTCTTCCCTCAAAAAGGTGAAGACTCATTTAAACAGACCTTAACAAGGTCTTCAATTCAATTTAACAAGCATTTTTATTAATACTAGAAGGGCAAGGTGCATAAATAGATGTGAAAACATTTATTAAAATTTTACTTTGAAATAATTTTTCTTTCTATCTCTATTTTCTTTACCCTGTAGTTAAAAAGAACATGCTACATCAATTGACACAGCTTCAAGGTATTCTTAAATTCTGTTCCTTCTAGTGTGTCTACACTGTCCTCTGGGAATACAAAGAAAAGAAGAAATACAGTCCCTGACCTCAAGGAGTTTACATTTTGTTGGGGCAGGCAGTGGATAATAGTTATACCAATAAGTAAACACAAGATCATTTAAGATGAAAACTAGGGAGATAAGGAAAGCTTTCAGCACCCATACTGGACCTTGAAAGAAGCTAGAAACCATTTCATCAATAATAAAAAGAGAAAGAAAGGTTTCTTCAAAGAAGAGTCATGTAAGTTGAGTGCTATTATTATCTCAATTTTAGAGATGAGGAAACTGAGACCTAGTGTCTAAGTGACTTGCCCAAGGTCATACAGCTAGCGAGCATCTGAGGCAGAATTCAGTTTTAAACCTGGCCCTAGGTCCAGGACTCTACCCACTATGCTACTTACTACCTAAGGTTCCAGATTTGGGTTCTAGACCTGGGTTCTACCGTTACCTATCTATGAGACTACAGGTAAATCACAACTCTCCTCTGAGACTCAATTTCCCTATATGTAAAGTCAATGTAAGACCTCCTTTACTTCCCACACAGGGCCATTGTGAAGATCAGCTAATAGATTTTGAAAATTTTCGAACCGTTATGAGTGGCTCTGCCCTTAACCTCCAACTAGGGACTCTGGCTCCCACCCTTGGGCCCCATGCTCCTGATTGGTGAGAGTTCTTGATATCCAGCCAGACCTAAGCTGATCTAACAATCCCAGGGACTTTGCAGAACAAAACAAACTTCCCTGGCCACCACTCCCCTATAGGCATTGCCTTCCTCTGTTAGAATATATAAATTCCATGAGGACAGAGACTGTGTTCCTTTTTGTATCTGTATCCTTAGTGACTAACAGCTAGCATACAGTAAGCACTTAATAAATGTCTTTATGTTCATTCACTCAAAACATAGTTGATCCAACTTCAAGACAACTCAACAAGGGTGAGTTCTTCTTTTAATTTTTCTGTGAACAAAAACTCCCTTCAGAAAGAGTTTTAAGTATAAAGATCTTGGTTCAGATTGTCCTTTATCCAGGTTTCCCTCAAGTAGCAGTTTCCTTCAAAACATTCCTCAGGTGCTACCTTCTAAACGGAGCCTTTCTGCCTTCCCCTCATTTTTTAATGCTCTCTCCCTTTTTGAAAATACTTTGTATTCTTTTGTATATACTTTGTGCTTACTTATCTGTGTTGTATTCTCCTGCAAACTATAAGGTCCTCGAGGGCAGGGACTATTTTGTTTTTATATTCCCATCACAAAGGATGATACCTGGCACATAGTAGGCACTTAAATGTGGGCTGAATTGAATTAAACTTGTCAACTATTTCCAGACTCTAAAAAATGCCCTCTTTCACCTAAGACCTAAATGGGCTTTCAGACAGCATCAGAAAAATTGTCTGGGAACCATACGTGAATGACTCCCTTGCTGTTCCTGGAAAAACTCAGACTATATAAAATAACTTATTCCTTAGTCATGACTTTATTTCCCATAGATTGGCTATAAACGATGCTCTGAAGTGACTGATTCAATAGAAATAAGGATAGACAGGCCTGATAAGCCTTTTATTACTCTATTGTTCCATTCCTTGAAAAGCAGAGGAAACTAGAGGACTATTATCTCAGTTTCTCATAACAACTCCCCTTTCAACCCCTTCCACCCCAGCCAAATAAAAAGAATCAAAAACTGCCTTTTTCATTTTCTCTGTTTACTATTGTGACTCATAAAAGTCAAAGAAGGATATTTTAAAGTGCAAGAATTTGGGGAGAATATCACATTAGGGCATATTTCAAAACCAAATAAAGTTTAATATAAGGGACTTATCAGAGACCCAAGCTGAAGCCAAACAAGTGCACCATTTTCCTATCATTGTTTAGCGTGTCTACACCCCTCCTGGATCCTTAATAAGCTACAGTTCAAACTTCTCCAACTTTGAGAGCCCTAAGTATTTGCAAAAGAGTAAACATGCCCATAGGATCACCCATATAGAGCTAGGAGCTACTTTAGTGGGCATCCGGTCCATCCATCCATTTCAGATAAGGAAACTGAGGCTTAGGGAAGTTAAGGGTCTTGTTTAAGGTCCCACAGATAGTAAGCCTCAGAGGTAGAATTTAAACTGAGGTCATCTATAAAATGAGCTGGAGAAGGAAATGGCAAACCACTCCAGTATCTTTAAGGCCAAGAAAATTCCAGAGGGAGTCACAGAGAGTAGGACACACCTGAAATGACTGAACAACAAACCTCTGACTTCAGCACCACTGAGTACCCTTTCCATTGTACTATAGTGCATCTCCTTCAGGGAGAGGAAGTGCTTCTAATTCCAGGTCTCAGATGGGAAGTGAAATGCCTTGACTACAGTGAATCTCAGACCAGAAACCTGCAGTTCTAACTCACAGTTTAAGGTACAGTTCCCTAGACAGTCTTTGCTCTCTCCTCTCCCATAAAAGGGCTCCTCAGCCGTGTGTCTGCTGAAAGTTGCCCCCTGTGTGGTTTGTAGCAGTAAAAGAAAATGTAAAATGTTCCTTTCCTATCTCTTCCCCCCACATGCCCAAAACAAACCAGCCACCCCAGGCATCTCCCTGCTGTGATCCCGTAGGTCTCATGTACTCACCCAGAGAAAGGTTTTCCAGGAGATAGAGATAACTTTGAAAGAAGTCATTGCGGATCGCCCTGTGAAGGATGAAGGACATGCTATGCTGACACAGCTCATCATCTGTCTTTTGCCAACGGGATCTAAAGGCAAAATGGGCTCCCAGATAGGCCATGATGGGGGGAAGAGGGAGAGTGATTCTTTCTACATGGAAAGGAAGACTCCTGCCTGAACAGTTTGCAGAGTGACTGATCTCCTTCTGCAGGAGCTTGGGGCTGTCATTTTAAATCATCTCTCAGTCCTCTGTCATTCTATATCACAGCTGAGTGTCATGGGGTGGGTGGAGATGTTGGGGAAGGCGGGTAGGAGTGAGGGAAGGGAGGCACGGAGAGGTCAGACTTTTGGCATTATCCCCAGTCTCTTGGTTGTCACCTCTTCCAGACCAGCAAGTGCTGAGCAAAGATGAAAACACAAACTGAGATGCTGCTTTATCTGTTGCTACGCACACACACACATATACATGCACACGCATACATACACACATATATACATACATATACACACATACATACACACATACATATCTACACATACACATACACACATACAAACACACATACACACACACACACATACACACTCCCAACACCCTGAGGATTTGCTTTAATTTGTTCCTAGTCTTGGACTTGTTTCATTTCCATATCAAAGAGCCATGGATATGTGCCTGGCACAAAGTAAATGCTTGTTGATTGATTAATATTAAAAAGAAAAAAGAAGTCTTTGCAAACTCCATGATTTGGCCTATTCAGGCTGGAAACACTGAATCCCAGTGATGAAAGGGCCTTCCATTGGACACCTGGTCTACTCTTCTTCTACAAGGCAAGATTGGCCTCTAATCATCCCAGATAGAGCAAAAGATTTCTCACAGGCTGAAGAATTTCCAGGAGAGAAAATTCCTTGATAACTCATCTCATTTCTAAACATTCCTCCCTGTCAAAGAACTCTTTCTATTAGTTCTATGTACCTTCAAATGTTATTTAAACTGATTTTTTCTGCCTTTTTTTAGGGTATGACTTTTTTCTCCAGTACATGCTCTCAGATACCCAGATGTTTCCAGTAGAAAAATGAACAAGAAATTAGCATAAGCCTTAGAACCAAAATAAAGAAAATACCACAACAATGTCCTTTTTTTTTAAGCTACCAGATTTAACCTAGTGTCTTTGTTTTCAGTTCCTTCATGAGGTTGTCATGGTTTCATAGGTGGCACACTGGGAAAGAGAAAGGAGGCAGAGACTCCCCACCTTGACCTTTTAATTCCCTGGTTTAACTTTTGTCATGCTTTAGGCTACTTTTCTGTGCATCAACTTTTTTTAACATATAAGAAAAATATAATAATACCTCCCTGTCCCCCTATACTCCTTATACAATACCAGGATAAAAGTTGTACTACAATAAATGCTTTATCTGATCTCTAATTTACCTCTAATGAGGGCTCATGGTCTTCAAGAGAAAGCTGATGACAAAGTAGCAAAGAAAAGATGGACAGCTCTGAACACAATGCATAGTATTTATTATATAGGCTTTCTTGAAATGGAAATTTATTGCTGTATATTTTGAACCCTCGTATGTTCTGCTGTGCACATGGCAATGCTTTTTTTCTTTTCTTATTTTGTATTTGTTTTAATATTTAGTTTTATAATATGTTTATTTTTCTTTTCATATTGTATATTTAAGTTTAAAATAAATTAATAAAAAAAGAGAAAGCTGAAGATGTGCTGAGGCTTTTACAACAGCATAACCTATACTTGCTTCTTTCATATCTCAGGGACATTATGGCATAGTGTATAGAGTGGTGGTGGCCTTAAGAGACAAGGAGACTTGAGTTCAAATCCCTCTTCAGATACTTATTAGTGGGGTGAGCCCTTAAGCCCTTTCAGCCTCAGTTTTCTCATCTGTGAAATAGAGATAATAATAATAGCAGCCACCTCAGAGAGGTTTTGTGAGGCTCAAATGAGATAATGTAGGTAAGAGGCTTTGTAACCCTTAAAGTGCTACATAGATACAAACTATTATATTACTATTATTATTTTCTCCTTAGATTTAGAAGTCTTAATAAATCTGCTGAGATGACCAGATTTTCAAGCCGTCACTTCTAGATGTTAGCGAAAAATAATTGGGAGATGGGGGACAGCAACAAGGAGGAAGAAGAAAAGACCAGACCTATGGTTTCATCAGTGTGGAAGGTCTCTAGAGTATTTCAGATCAGCAGCAGCTTGTCTATAACTTATAAAGTCTTATAAAGATACTTGGATAAATTATGCCTAGCTAGCAGGGAAACAGGAATAGATACATCTCTAGCATCACCTTCCTCCATTATTCTCCAAGAGGGACTTTAATTCTTGCCAAGAGGAGAAGCTAAAGGTTGGAGTCAGAGACCAGCTGCCCTCCTCTCCTCAGAGAGAGGGGTACTGGGATACGATTCTATCTTTCTCCATTAAATATTAGTCTAAGGTAGTGGCATCAAACTCAAATAGAAATGTAGACCACTAATGCATACATAAGGATCCTTGAGGGCTGCATAATGACTTAGTTTTAAAATGCAATGTTTTCTATGTGTTTTATTATATTTTTAGTTATTTTGTTAACTATTTTCCAATTAACTTTAATCTGTTTTGAACTGCTCTCAGCAGTGTAATGGACCAATGTGGGCTCCCAGAATGTGACACCTCTGGCCTAGGTGATATAATTTTAGGTTCAAGATAAACTCCTAATCGCTATTTCTGTTTTCTTTTCTTTTAAGGCACCTGGGGTTAAGTGACTTGCCTAGGGTAATACAGCTAGTAAGTGAATTAGGGGAGGATTTGAGCTCAGGTCCTCCAGACTCCAGGGCCGGTATTCTATCTACTGCACCAACTAGCTGTCCCCCAATCACTATTTTTAACAGGGAAAGGAGGACCTCATACTCTGTATACAAGGCTTGACTCCCTTCCCACTAAATGCCAGTTCCACAAAGAACACAAATAGCAAATAGCAAAGAAATCCATTTATCCAAGTGGATAGAAAAACAGAAATCAAAGGAAATATACATATGAAACTACATACCAGACAACACAGCTTGAAGAAACTCCCCGACTGGGAGTGAGATAACTCAGCTCAACCAAGAGAGAAGATGACAAATCTCACCCAAAAAGGAAATTCCATGAAGTCTCTAGCATAGCAAGCTGAGACTGAGGACATGATGGAGACCATCAGCTCATCTCATGTCAGCTTCTTCCTAGAGTCTTTTCCTCCCTCCAGCAACTCGAAGTGGAGTTGGCATTGTCCATCTTCTCTCTTGAAGCTGGAAGCCAGAAGTATCCAAAGAGATTGAAGAGCCCACATTTCTCTTCTCTCCCATTCTCTCCAACTTTTGCCCTCATGCGGGTACAGGGCATTGATCTCCCATAATGAGGAGAAAGTCTCATACCAACATGCCTTAGGGCTTGGATTACAATAACTATTATTATTATTATCTCCTCAAAGACTTGTTAAGCCTGGTGAAATCATCAGATTTTAGACCCATCATTTCTATATATGAATGGAAGATAATTGGGGGAAAGAGATTGAAGAGGCAGAGGAGAGGACCAGACCTTTGGTTTCATCAGTGTAGAAGGCCTCTCCAATAATGAAAATCAGCAATAAATTTATAGTCTTATAAAGGGGCCTGGGTAAATGAGAGATTATGTGGCTTCCCCAGAGTCACAGAGTCAATATATGTGTCAGAGTCAGAAATTGAACTCACTTTTTTTTTTTTTGCTAGATCTTAGCAGAACATAAGCTATTGTTCTTGGGGACATGATAGAGAGATAGTATAAGAACTGGCATTTGAATAGCATTTTATACTATTGCAGTTAAGCCGCATAGCAATCCTGAGGTATATAATACAGGTGTTATTATCCCCATTTCATAGATCAGAAAACTGAAGCTTCAGAGGTTGTTAGTCAACAAGCATTTATTAAGCATTTAAAGATATAACCAGGTTCTGCTTCCGGGAGCCAAGATGGCAGAGTAAGAAGTAAGTCACTCTTACCCTTTCATATTAACCTCTGAAAGCCCAGAAAATATCACCCAAGGAAAAACCCTGGAACAGCTAAACCAGAAGAAAGAGGGGTGCAGCAGTCCTGTAGCCCAGGTAGCTTGAGGGATTAATGGGAAAGGCCCCTCTTGCCCTGGGGGAAGGGAAGCAGTACAGAACGGGAGATGTCCCAGCAAGCTAGTGGAAAGCCCCACCTCAGCATGCCAGGGGGAGATCCTGAACTCCAGGTGGTAGAGCAGGCGAACACCAACACCTGGACCCCTAAGTGCCTCCGTGAGGGCAGTGGAATTGGTGGAAACCAGCATGGAAAACCACCAGGTGCCTCAGCATTCTACAACAACCAGGTCTACCAGTGCTTCAGCAAAACTAAAGGAAGCAGTACTCCAAGGAGCCCCAGGTAGATAAACACCCAGCAACATCCATCTGAAAGGAGCTGAAAAAAGCAAAAGGAAAGGAAAAACAGGCAACTTCCAGTGGCCAGACTACCCAATCCTACCCCTAGAGTTCATGTTGCTGCTTCCAGCCCAACACCAGGTAAGCGGCCAGAATCCTACAGCCTCCAACTGCTAAAATCAGAGGCCCCAGCACACAAAGCCAGTGACCAGGCCCTAGGCTGCCAACACAAGAAGCTTAGGTCAGTGCTCTCTGCTCCCCAGCAGGAGAGCTCAATCTGTTTAAAGGCCAGGAAATAAGCAAACACCATGAGCAAAAAGAAACATACATTAGATTCATATTATGGGGACAGTGAAGATCAAGGCATAAATTCTGAAGAGGACAACATTGTCTACAAACCCACATCTGGAACCTCAAAAGGGAATATGAACCGGTCTGAAGCCCAAAAAGCCTTCTTAGAAGGGTTCAAGAAGGATCTTAAAAGTCAAATGAGAGAGGCAGAAGAAAAAATGGGAAAAGAAATGAGAGGTATGCAAAAGAGAGTCAATAGGTTGGAAAAAGAAGGACAAAAATTAACTGTAGCAAACAAGTTTTTAAAAAATCCAATTAACCAACTGGGGAAAAGTACACTGAAGAAAACAAGTCCCTAAAAAATACGATTGTCCAAATGGGGAAGGAGGTACAAAATTTAATAGAGGAAAACAATT